ATCGGACCAAAGTTATAATACCATTTCATGCTCATGAAAGGTATAATAAATACATGAATTAATACGTGTTTATTACTAAAATTTCAAGTATCTTCGAAAGTATTAGTCCTACATATTTTAGTGTATGGTAATTTTTTGTAGAAGAATCGAATTTAGCTAAGAAACAATTTTTTTAGCACTTGAACTTTGGTGGACTTAGGCGAGCCTAAGATATTGGCCAAAAATTTTCATCTTTCACACAGATTGTTTTTAGAGCATAATGAACCTTATTTTTGGTATTACCAATGAAAATTCTAAGAAAGCGAATTTTCGGCACACGCTATTCTACATTTTAGCAAGGTTCGGCTAGTTTTCGTTTGTTTATTTAATGTTTATTATTATTTTTTTAAGTAAAGTTCTTTTTGTAACAAAAACCATATAAATCCAAATTTTCGACTTTGTGCAAAAACTATGAGAATTAATTCTGAAAATTTTCACCAAAATTTCAAACACTTTAATCAGAACCTGTAGAAAAAGGATCAGTCCAGCTCCTTCGTCTTGACCTGCCACAGCCGCTAAAGTTAAACGTAGAATACGTGATAATAATAAGAGCATATTCAGGTTAGAAACTGTTTTATTTTATTGGATTCAAAGTGCTACCCAACTTTTAAACAGGTGGCAGTCCTTTTAAATATTCTTAATGTTCAAGCTGAATATTTCATAAAACTCCTTTCTTTGACACACATATTTCAATACACAGATGGCAAAATAAACTAAAACCTTGTTAAGCCTTTTTCGTATGTCAAGGAAATATACGTATTTAAAATATCTGATTCCTTTAATTCAAGCTGCATTTAAATTTTAAAATGGATGGCCACTCTTTTATATGTGTAAATAGGTGGCAACCTTCTTTAAATTATTTTCAAACTAAAACCTTGTTAAGCCTTTTTCGTATGTCACGGAAATATACGTATTTAAAATATTTGATTCCTTTAATTCAAGCTGCATTTAAATTTTAAAATGGATGGCCACTCTTTTATATGTGTAACTTCAGGGTAATTTTCGTTGATATCCATATTGTAGTAATTTATTTAGCCTATAGCATATATTGAGTTTAACTTTGTAAACAGGTGACAACCCTGTTTAAAATAATTTCAGACTAAAACTTTTTTTATCCTATTTTATCTGGCACCCGTATTGCGATACAAATTCAAATTATCTAATTCTCTTAATTAAAGTTGAATTAAGCATTTAAAGCAAGTGGCAACTCTACCACCTGTAGTTCAAAATACTGCGGTCTTCAAAGCCATTTTGATTTTTTACATTTAATTTATCTTTGTGAATAGGTGGCAACCCTCCTACATAGAAGCTAAGCCTTTTCAAACCCATTTCGATCGATACCCATATTGTAATAATTCATTTAACGTATAAATAATTTGAAATACATATTTTATCAGGTGGCAACTCTTTTTGAGAAAATAAAACGTTATTGCATACACAGGGCAAAGCCCTTTAACTTGGTACATCATTTTGTAAAATCGAACGATCGGTACAGATCTGATGATATGACTACTTATGTACATAGAATACTGAAGGAGAAACAGATAAATTTAACTCCAATCAACATATGTACGTATGTATGTACATTAGGGTGGTCCAAAAATGCATGTGGGGGGGAAAAGTAAAGTCGAAATTTGTATGCTCTCCCCCAGGATTGTTCTATACCGAGATAAGGGTACTTATATTTTATTTTAAATCAAAAAAAATATTTAGAGCTCGAGAAGCGCCCAAAACAAACTTTTCGTAGCATGGTATAGAATAGTTAAAAATAAATATTTTTCTACTAGAAACCGCTGTATATCTGCAGGAGATTCCCAGTAATAATACCCAATTGTTGATTTAACAATTTTTTCATCGCAACTATAATTTATAGGTCCGCCAAAAACCCATAAAAGTCCCGAAAAATGTAATGGGGCGACCAAAAAAAAATCGTTGGTATTACAAAATGGATAAATAAGCAATTGGGTATTGTTATTGGAAGTCTTCTGAAGAGAACCAGAGTTTTCCGATCGAAAAATATTGATTTCCAACAATTCTATACCATTTAATTTTATTTTTCTCTACAAAAATACATGGAAAACTGTGAGCGCTTTGAGCGACCTCTAAATACATTTTGATTTCAAAAAAAAAAAAAATAGGGGTGTACTTTTTTTCGATATAGAACAATCCTAGGGGTGAGAGCATTACAATTCCCACTTTACTGTTTTTTGACCACCCTAATGTACATACATACGTAAATATAATGCCATTAGGTTATAAATATTTCCCGGAGCTGCTCCATCTGTTATTCAAAAGGCGAAATACACATATACTTTTTATCTCCTTCTCACACTTTCAGCACATGCACGTGTTTACAAGATGATGAAGTGATTTTGTATGGAAAATCATTTATACTCATATATACTTCCCATATACCAAACGAAAGGAAAGAACTTGAATTTTTGACTAAAGAAAACAAATTCATTCAAGCGGTTTTCAAGCATTTGGTAATAAAAAAAAATTGCTTCTTTTTTTTATGCCTTAAAATGCTCAATAAATTACTAGAGCACTCTAAAGGCTCAAAATTTACCTTAATATAAGCCAATATTTACCGTTGTTTCTACGACAGAAACCGAATTGGTTACATACAAAAATGAATCTGTCGATAGGTTTGGAATTTTATCTTTGAAACGCCACAATTTTCTTTGAAATCGCTTCATTAGTTCCTGTGCAATAAGCGTTTTCGTGAAATTACAACTACAACATTTGAGCATAGCCTCCATATCAAACGTAAGACGTATTCTTTGTTTTGTTAACGGTTAGTCCTAGCTACTTAAAACTTGCACTTTATTGTATTAAATTTAACGAAACTTTTGTAAACAATTTTGTGGAGTAAAAATCTCCGGAAGGATGCTGTTTCAGGGCTAATACATTTATCTTATATCATTTAAGAAGGTATTAAGATCTGTTAGCTTTTATGGAAAAAATTAACAAAATTAATTTTTGTCCCGTATCGGCTCGCATAAATATGGTCGCCGTACTTACGAGGACATCAACCAGCACCTTCCCCGGACATTCCAGGGGCATGTTCTCAATTGTAGTCCATTAAACGTTTTCCGTTATCGTCGTCAAAAAGGGGGCTTTTCTGAGGTTTTATGGTTGTGATATTTCAGGCCCCTTAAAAAGCGCGTGCCCAGGGGAATTCACCCCTTTTGCCCCTCCCTCTTGACCGGCCTGCATACATATGTACATATGTATGTAGGTATGTATGATTTTTCAAAAAAAAAACTAACAAAAAAGTTGGAGGATTCACTAGGTGTTATAACAGTAAAAATGTCAAAGTCATAAATTTTAAAAATGTATTGTGATTGCTATGAAGCACTTATGATTATATTTAAAGTTTTTATTTATAAAATGTATGACATTATGACTAGTTATGGCATCTTGTGAATCAATTGGAAGGAGTTGGTCGCATCAGGTTCAATATGTTGTTAAAGAGGGAATAAATGGCAAGGGTACTGAGTCCCTACGTTTTCAAGTAACGGGATTTTATCTGTTTGAAAAAGGACCATATCGTCCACCAATTACTTTTACTTTTTTCACTATTTTTAAATTCTTCTATGACTATGTATTATATTGTGTTTGAATATCATTTAAAAGCGAATCTTAACAATGAGTCCCGTCTTCCTCCACAGCTTTTTCTGCTACACATGGATGAGATCACTGCAATTTGCGCAAAAGGACCTGAAGCGGTTGCACCAGTTGGCTGTTCAAGTATAATAGTTAACAATGAAAACTCTGTACGTATATAAATAAATGTATACATACATATATACGTATAATATATAATTTCCTAATGGTTCCAATATTCCTCTATTCCAAATGGTGTTCAGCGTATTATCGCTCACACTGAAGACGCACTGACGGCAACATTGAATCACTATTACTTCGTAGTGGCACACATCGTCAATGATACACCACAGGGTAAACACCAGGTGAAGGAAGAACGTTTCATGTCGCTTTGCTATGCCGGCCACTTGCCTGGCTATACGATGAATTACAATCATCATGGATTGGTATTCACTATTAACACGCTATCGGCGTTGCATTTGAGAAGTGGCAAAACACGTAAGAAAAACTGCTTTCAACTCAACTCCAAGCGCTCAATTATTTATGTCCAATTTAAAACTTTCTTACATACAGCTCGCCACTTCATAACACGTGCCCTCTTGAGCGCCGAAAACTTCGACCAGGCAATCAAAGTACTTAAAGATGAGGGAGTTGGTGCCGGCGATGGTTGTTCCATCAATCTATCTTTCATCAAGTAAGGATTATATTTAGTACTTTTTTTTTATCGAGATTCATATTTAATAAAAACCGTTTCCATTAAATTTCCTCTTCAAGCGACGAATCTCGTAAATTTTACAACATTGAAATGGCGCCAGTTCTGGAAGATGGCAAAGAATCCCGTCTGGACATTAAAGAGATATGCACTGGTGGTCATAATTGTCACGCTAACAGGTATTCACTCCTGTTTTACATTTAAAATAAGTGTGTTACATATTTATATTTTTTTATTTCTCATTTTACACCACCTCAGATATGAGCGCTTAAGCACCAAGGAAGCCAATCAGTGGTTACTGGATTCAAGCGAATCGCGAATGAATACCTTCAGCAACTACTCGGCACCCACTTGCAAGGATGATGTCGTTCAAATGTTGGGCGATTGCAGCGGTGGCGACTATTGTGTGTTCAATGAAAATAATTCATTGGATGAACTGGTGAAAACAATTGCTATCGGTGTTTTCGACTTAAACGAAAAAACGGTTGCCTTGTATTCAGACAATCCGAGTAAGACCAAACCACACTGTGTACTACCGATGATACTGAAGGACTAAAGTAGTTATTTGTTAGAGTAAATTTATTCGTATTAATATGGGGTCAGTGAAATGGAGAGTAGTTTCCTCCTGCATTTTACTATCCCAAAAAATTTAAAACTGAAAATAAACTAATGTACTTAT